CCTGCACCAAGTAAAGTGGGAACAAAATTAAGACAAAGTTACATGCTGTCATTAAAGAACAAGAAGTAGTCCAGCAAGTTTCAGGACTCCGATGAAGTAGACAACGAATAACTTACGGTTGACTGGTTGAGGAACTGAGAGATGAGGGTTGGCTGCTTTGTGATTGGCTCGGTGTACTCAGAGCTGATTCTGTGGAGCTCTCTGCTACTACTGCACTGTAACCTGATGGCAGGTGAGGGAAGGTTAGAAAAGCATCCCTCATAATTTACTTACACAGATGAGAATAGTCCCATACAGCCAGGAGTAACGAGTTCACATACTTGTGCTTCCATTTTGCTTGAGTCCACTCGGTGGTCTTGCAGGAGCAGCGTTCACTCCTACTCCTCCGACCACACCGACATTTCCACCATTTCCTCCCATCATGCCGACAACACCAGAGGTAGTGCTGACAGTACTAGGCGGCACCTGCGAGGCACCTGGGGCCACACTTTGCCCAGGAATAAGACCCAGAATACTCCCACTCAGAGAGTTGTGAGCTGGGCTGGTACCTAGTAATCCAAGCCCTGTCCCCGCCCCGTTGGTGGTGACTCCACTGGAGCCAGAGGTAGGGATGGAAGTGCTGCTCTCCACTGAAATGCTGGACTGAGGGGTGCTGCTCAAACCCAAACCTCCCGATGCTGCTGCCTGAGCGTAAGGGGCAGGTGTGGAGCCCGAAAGGAGCCCTGCCATTGTGTTGAGAGGAGTGGGATGGCCAACCAGGCTTAAACCAGGTATCTGGTTGGCACTGTTGGTCCCCGTTATGCCAACTTTGCTCAATCCTAGTCCAAGCCCGAGTCCCAAACTGGATGCCGGACTGGGCCCTGGTGTAGTCTGAGGCTGAGAGTTGGGAGCTGATGAACTGGGTGTGCCAGATGTAAGGAGAGAGGGAGAGGTGGAGGCTGGGAGTAGAGGGTTGCTGGGCGGGCTGGGGGTGTTGTTTGAGGGGACTGAAGGTTTTGTCTGAGGTGGCTGCTGCTGTGGTTGCGGCGGTTGGTTTGGTGGCTGAGGCTGTTGTTGCTGTTGTGCAGGTTGATGCTGATGTTGCTGCACCGCACTGCTGAAGCTTCCTATTAAACTGCTGCTCGTGGGCACTGGAGTAATGCCTCCGACAACACTCGCCATGGACACCAGGGAGGAGGATGAGGAAGACCCAGAGGTGGAGGAGGAAGAGAAGGAAGATAGCAAAGATGGGGTGCCGTTCTTCACAGGCGACTGAAAATGACAGAGCACCAGGAAGAGGCATTTTAGACAAAACAATTGCAGAGGTCAACTACAGCAGAACAAAGTGCACTAAGACCAATTTTACTGTAATTTATGGAGGTCCACATATGCAGGAGATGGTGCAAACTACATCAAAAGTCTCCTACCATGGTCCCAGAGGAAATGTGTTCCATTTCAGTGGCTGAGAGGCCAAAACCCATCAGCCACCATCTCCTGGACCATGGATGAAGAGTGCTGCACTAAACTCTTAATTTCTGACACACAACAGATGAGAACATCTCACCTGACTTACTTCACTGTCTGTCGACCGTCCCCTTTTCTTATCGTCCTCTGAGTTCTCCTATAGGAGGAGATACCTTGATATGACATTCCACTTTTGAAACATTGAGTCAGCAAACCAGCAAGTTGATTAAAACACAATGGGGCTTGTAGAAATGTTAAATTAATGCAAACGTAACAGAAGGAATGTGTGCAAAACTAAAATAGTGTACTTTGTCTACCCAGCATCCTGTTAACATTCTCACAAGAAATTTTTAATGATAAAAAAAGACAAGAACTTACAGCAGTGCAAGTGGCTGGTGATGGAGGGATGGGTGAAGAAGAGGTGGTGGAAGTGGGAGTGCTGCTGGAATGGAGATACATCTCATCTTCCACATTTCCCTGACCTGATGGAGAAGTTGCAACTAATGCTGCAGCTACAAGTAAAAGATGAAACAGAGACAAACATCAAAAGTTGTCATTCCAGCCACCACCCCCTCAACTCATCCCCACTCAAATTCTGCTCTGTAAATGAATAACATCATCATCCCTACACTAAGCAGTGCTCTACTTACGGATATCTTCCAGGTCCAAGTCATCATAGAGGAACTCATTCTCCTCAAAGTCTGGGTCTTGGGACGAATCGATGTAGTAGTCAACATCATCCTTGATCTTCTGGATTGAATCCACCGGCACAGAGTCATTGTCCAGCATTCGTAAAATGGTCTCCAACATACGAATGTGGAATCTATGCCTCTCAATCAACCGCTTGAGCTCATCAATACGTTCTTGCTTCTAGATGACAGAAAGGAGAAGTATGTTAAATTTCAGCAGAACTTTTACCATGCTATAATACACTAGATATGTACAAACACAAATGTTTTGCATGTAACTTACGTCTTTATCACCCTTCTTCTTTCTCGTCTGAACTGACAGAGACTCCACCTCACTTTCAAACTGATCCACCTGCATATTTAGAGTGTCTATCGTATTCTGCAGAAGAGGAAGAGGTCAGAAAAAAGAATGTTAATGGTTTTAACCAAAATTATCATTCATAACACATTATTAATAAAACTGCTGTATTCAAAATAAACAGTTTGTAAGTTCTTAATAGTTTATTTTACTGATGACTTCACATATCTTGTTCACCTTCATTGCAATAAAATTTCAGGCAACCATAACTAAAAGAGGTGAAGAAAGTTGGTATTACCGTTAGCCACTGTCCCGTTTCCTCCTTTTCCCTCTGAGCTGGATCCACTTTCTGAGCGAGCCCCAAGCCTTCTTTAGAGTAAGCTTTTGTTTTTGTTTCACGTTCCACCACCTTGAACCGCTCCATTTGCTAAGACAAGTAAAAATCGCACAAGGACTTGTTTAGTTACATATTTTCAAGAGACAAAATTTGCACAACCACAAAAAAAGCAGAATAAAGAGCCATACCGTCTCTATAAGTTTGCGGTTCTCGACTAGCTGCCTTTTGTCTTTGATTTCGTTTGAGGCCACCCATGTTTTTATCTGATCTCGCAATCGCTGGGAAGAGCACAAGCCAGAGAAAATATTAAAGCCGATTTCCAATTTCACTACTGATGAAGAGTGCAGATGTAGGAAATGTGTAATTTTATCTTGTCTTACCTGTAGTTTTTTAATCTCTTTCTTGAGGTCAGCCTCATATTTTTCCTTCTGGTTTGCGTTGGCTGCATTGTGGAGCTAAAATATGAAATAAATGAGATATTATAAGTGATGTTGACATTAATTTTTTGAAACAGAACAGCAAATAAATGCACAGTGATTGGATGTGTTACCTTTTGCCAGATATCTTCAAACTGTTCTACACCTTCGGCTACTTTTTTCAAACATCTGTCGATCTCACCTGTGGAGGTAAAAAGATGTGGTACAACAGTGCTGTGTATAAATCTGAACCAAAAGTCCCTCACAACACACAAACACATAAAACGTAGGTGGATGAAGTCCAGTGTGTGCAAGATGCCAGTGGGATGGATCGTGTGCCACATTACTGATGACAGTTTCAGCAAGTCTTACCTTGAAGTTTTCTCTTGTCAGCCATGGCTCTGACTACGACAATGTCCACATTCCGTCTGTCACCGAGTTTGCTGTGCAAAGGAAACAACACGTGCGTTTAAAGATAGTTTAAACAACACAAAGATCACTCCAGCAGATCCATCAGTGGAGCACAGCAGCGTCCAGAGAGTGGGACAGACGTTTACTCCAGCTAGCTGCCAGGTTAACGTCAGCTACATAGATAAAGTCCGGATTCGAACACAGCTTGGCGGTTTATCTAACATTATATGCCCGTGGATGCAGCTGATGCTGCTAATGTTACCGATGTGACTGGCATGGTTGTCAGCTAAAATTAGCCACCTAGCCAGCAAACGTTACTGAGGCTAACGTTAATACTAGCCAGTTGCTTAGCTCGTCCACCTCGCTCGGTTCCTATCTAGTCCGTTTAAAAACAAACCGCCACGGAGCGAGTTTATGGTTGGATTTCATTCTCATGCATCATCACATTGGGGTGCAGTACAGCTTGTATATGGTGGTTTTGCATTGTGAAAATACACAACATATCAGAAACCGTTCAAATTCGTTAACCTGCTGGCTAATGTGGCTAACAGTCTGGCTAGCTAATGTATAAAAATGCTAGCTAGCGGCTAAGCTAGCCAAATTTAGGAAAAAGGGAAACTGGGTCAACCCGAGCATCTATATTTCATACTTGTTTACGACATTTACCTAGGGTATGGACTTTCGTTTGTCTTTTTTCAAATACGGCCAAAAAACTATTTCCAGAAAATCTTCTTTACTTCCAAATTGTGTTTTCTTTTCGACAAGCTCGCTCACTGTAATGTAGCTGAAGATGGACGGTAGCTAAAATCCCACCTCCGCGTTTGGAACCCGCCCTAAATCCAGCCTGCGCGATCTGATTGGTCAGAGGTCACGTCTGTCACCGGGACGCATCCGCTGGAATCACACACTGTAACCGGGGGCCAGGCACTGGCTGGACGGTGCGATGGATTTCGATCAACAATAAATATATAAATGATTGAATGAAGACATGAATGAATGAATAAACGTGTAACTTATAACCCTGTGAACTCATTAAGTCACTATGACAACTGAATGAACTTTACCCCCTTACAGAAAAACTCTAATAAGTGACCTTTCACTTTCTTTTTTTTATCAGATTAAAGAAACTTCATAAACAGTTGCTGTGTTATTGAGGTTATGCATAGAAACACGAATGGCCACATATGAGTTTTGCCATCAGGGGTTGAAGTTTAACCTGTCGAGGTGGACGTGAAGATGAATAAAAGTAGGGACATCTTTATCTTGTCCTGGTCTGCTTCAGCAAAAATTATAAAATACACACTTACCCTTTCTTAACACTTCTAAAACATTTAAAAGTTAAACCAAATAAACCACGAACTTTAAAACCCATAATAATATAAACACAAATAGAACTACTCAAGAAACAAAATGAAGTTTTTGTTTTCTTTGACACTGATGATGACTCTGCTCACTGAGATAAATTTATGCATGAAATGATCGGTAATATCCAGGAATGTATTATGAACACCATTAGTTTTCCCGCCCTACTTTAATTGTCTGTGTTGCCAGATTTTTACCAAACAAGGCTTGCCATTAGTCATAATTAAATCATCAAATCTCGGTACAAAACATGAAAGCAGAAAATAATATGTACAAATATATGTAATGTATGCACCAGGTAACTAACATTTCATTTGAATTTATATGAACTTAAGTCTGTTCACAATATTCAAGTAAAACTACAAACAGTGAAAAACCTGGCTGTACAGTGAGAGCTGCCGTTATCTACTGAACAACTAAACAAGATGGGTGCTCCTCCGACATCATCAAATCCAGGGCAGTGCAGCCATCAGATGATCAGTGAGACAGGGAGGTTGGGCTGGGCATGTCTCCAAATTGTGAGTCTGCCAACACTGACATGTCTGGTTCAGTCTGGGTGAAAAAGCAGAAACTCAATTAAACATAAAATCAATTATTCTACACTGTCAGATGTCTGAGTGTATACATTAACGAGACATATCTGTGTATTAAACCACTGGTTCATGTGTCCCCAACTACATGTTCATCTAAATCACACCAACGCACAAAAACATGGAGGTCACCTTCTTAACAAACTTGCTTGGACAAAAGAGAAATTAACCTACCTGTGGGTCTTTGTCTTTCTCTTGCCTTGGAATTCGGTGCCTCCTCTTCTTCGGTCCAGCAGCCTGATGTAATGCTGCAGATGCCGTGGAGCCAGACAGACCGTTGAGACGGTCATCCTCCACTCCAGCAGCAGGATCTAAATGTGCACCAGACTCATCCTGAAAGAACAGGCAACAGATGCAACAACATAGTATGGAGGCAAGGTGGGTAACTGCCTTTGACCAAGGATCAGTGCATTTCAGTTAATTTAAAATAAATTGATACGTTGTTAGTGAGTTTTCAACACTTTAAAAGTCAGTCCTGCCATATTATATAATCTTATGGTAATCTAAGACAAATGCTGTACTCATATGGTGCATATTGCCAGGGCTTATTACAGACGTTGTTGTTTTGTAGGTCCTAGATCTTCCTGGTAACTTAAATTCTTGCTCCATGGGTCCCTAAGGTCATCACAAGGTTCAGTTCAAAAAAACAAAAGCTGGTGCCAGACGAGCAGTGGACTTCAATTTTTAAAAACAGACATTGTAAATCTATTGTCACTGTGCCGTTTGTCAGTTCCATATTACACTAACCTTAATAAAATACATAAAAAGGTTTCATGCAGGGGTAAGGATTTCTAAACTTGGGTGGTATCAATGTGGGGAGGCGGTTTTCATGTGGACATGTACACACGAGGTGAAGAAAATGACCAGTTTACAGATTTCCTTCCTTCTGACCATGAATACACAAAGAGAACTCTATGACAAAATTATTTGAATTACACGTCTTAACCTCATTTTCTTTCTTGGTCTATTTCTCACCTCAAGCAATATCGTGAGCTGTGCATTTCTGTAATCATCCCCATGAGCATCTAAAGTCTTCATGAGAAACCTGTAGGGATTAACAGAGCAACAAGGTGAGCCACCGAGAGTCAGTCCTCTCAGAAATATAGTTATCGTAATCAAGCTTTAAACCTTCTTTCTTTCTTCAATCGTCGTGTGATTCTTTGTACTTGGTGAAGGCGGCCCAGCAACTTTTGATTCACCTGAAAAGAACAGAAAATTATGATAATATAG